TCCGCACCTTATTTTGTTTATATAAAATAGAATAAAATGTTTATAATTCAAGTCATTAGAACATTGTTTAAAGGGCGAAATATGTGTAAAAATGCACACATTAACAGTGTACAATGTGTAGTTTACTTACATGTTCTCGCACATCATCTAATCAAGTCCGCGGTTGACGGTTCCTGTGGAATTATCCAATCAAACAGAGCATATTTAACAGAAAAAAACATGTTATTTCACTTTTACACAAGTAAAAATCGGTTAAATCATCCAAACAAGCTGAAGAAATAAGGTCTTTCGATGCCTGGACTCTTCGTTGTTTACATTCCCAAATTCTTCCGGTGCTCGTTCACGGTTAAATCGTACGCCGTATTACTCGAAGTTTATAATGTAAATCTTTTTTTAGAAAAGAGAATGTTTTATTTTCTATTGAAATTTTATAAATATTTCTTTTGTAAACATTTTATATTGAATTTCGTTTTTGTAATTTATTCTGAAATATGAATGAACCTTTGCTCGAATCTGATTGGCTGAAGGAAACAGGATAGGATAAGATAGGATAGGATTGGATTAACTTCTATATGTTTCTATCGTGAATCCTCAATCCTGAATCCTATCCAATCCCATCCCATGTCAACTTGTGGGATAGCAGCACTGTAATATTTTGTAAAGACATATAAAACAAAAGTTGTAGAAAATGTAACGATCTTGCAAACAATATCAAAATAAGGGGCTGACCCCTATAAATAAGGACCGAGAGGGGCCGAAAGTTTTTCCGGAACATTTCAATAAAATATTGAGAATTTATAATACGTCAAAGAAGCAAAGATGTTCAAAATGTCAAGCTCAATCTTTGAAAGTCGTAAAAATGCCTCCGGTGACGTCATTTCCGGTAAATCTGGAAGTCGTCAGAAAATGCATATTTTTGCCGCTCTTGACATGTTTTTTGGTAACATATGTCACTGGAAGGATAAAACTTAATTTTCCGTCCGTAGACATCAATTCAGTTCAAACTGGCTAAAATAAGCTAAAATAGCTTATTTTTATAGTTTTTGACGCAAAATTGAAATTATAACGTCACTGGAGACGACTTAGCTTATTGCTTTCTTTTGTTGATGTCACTTCCGGTCAAAACAGGACGGAAGACCTACACGTTCCTCTGCAACGAGCTTTGTTCTAGTTGATATTATTATTCCACACATTATATCAAAACATTAAGCCCATGCAAATTTCGCTCAGTGATTTTTACTTAAAAAACTAGACGCAAAATTTTCAATTTTCTGAGGAAATTATGAATATTGTAATTCTACGTTAAATCGCTGACGTCATTTTAAACACATGACGTCGTTGCAAATGTGAATATTCATTGCTTTGAAGTAAGTATGTTTCCCCCTGTTTTGGAACATAATTTAATATTACTCTGTCAAGATTCGATTTTTTGGGGGCAAATATTAGTTATTACCGATTAAAGTCCACTGAACAGCCAACTCGAGCCAATAAAAGTTCAATAACCCTAAGTTATCTTTCATTAACACTTAACCATTACTTGCATTATGCTATATGACTCACTCAATAGACAAACTTCCTAAAATGTCCTGTAGGACACTTTGGCCACAACTGTGAAGGCAGTTGTAGCATTAACTGTGGAGTCCTTGGTATATGTAACAGAGAGACAGGGGAATGTCAAGGCCGATGTCAGGAGGTATGGTATTTAAAATTATCGATATATCTTCGTTTTGTTAATTAACAGTACAAATTAGAAGGTGAATCATGTCATTATTATACTTAAGGTAGTCCGATCCTCAGGTTTATAAAATTAGTAGTTTATTAGTCCAAAATACTCATAAAAGTATCTTTGAATCCACAAAGTAATGTAAATTTATCCACAGTATTTCTTTAAAGCTTAAGATAAAAATTAATCATATTATATAAGAAAAATTGTGAAATCTACTATATTTTTGCAGAAAAGGTGATTCGGAATCACAGCAATGCATTTTCTAATTGCAAACTGATCAACAAATATATTTTAAGTTAAAAACGACAGGTATCCAGACATTTAGAGAAATTGTCATGAATTTTATACTTATCTGGTATTTTTTGCCTTCTATTTCCGTCATGTTTTCTATAATACATAGTGTAAAATGATTTTGCTATCATTGCAAGATACCAAAAATCAATTCTTATTGCATATCATGCTAAAAAGCATTGGTATCTAAGGATAGATTCAAGAAAATCTTATTTCTCTAAAAGTGTGTTTTTTTTCCTTTTATTGGATACAAATGTCAACATTTAAAAGACATTTTTTTAGACTTCCCAAAATCTTGAGTCTTATAGAGGTAAATAAAATGAAAATAGTTGCATGAAAAAACTTTTTTAGCTTCATTTTGGTGCAATTCAAATTAAATATTAATTTTTGGAGTTATCATTCCTGGCTGAGAATCAGATATCCTTAATGAGTACGGGATAAAGCAACAATTACGACATCAATCTTAAGATTAATTGACGTTTAAACGCTAATCGTCAGTCTATTATTTAACAATTTACACTGATTTTGACGACCCATTTTCCCACTATTACCCTATAATGACAAGGAGCAACCGTTAGTGTGAACAGTCGGCAGGATATGCCCACTCCTCCTTAGCACCTTATCCCATCCCTGATCTTTTTGAGGGCTGCTCCTATTTTATAATTTTTTATGGACTTCTGATCTTGTTATTGTTCTTTGTCTCCTTTTGTTTTGATGAAAAAGTAAGAAAAAATCTGCATGCGATTCCTTTTAAAAACTTCTAACAGAAATAGATGTATCTGATTAACAAAACACTCTATCATGTGCTGATTTTTAGAATAGTACAACAGGTAATACTGTCACCAAATATGTTCATGATGGATTGCAAGATAAGGTAAAATTTTTACCATAGACGCACAGTTTAAGGAAAGTGTTGAACAATATATTCAGTAATTTATCAAAGTGTTAATTGTATATTTCAGCACATTTGAAATGAAATTAAAGGATAATTATTAACAAAGATTATATGAAAAATATTTAAAAATTTCAATGTGAAATTACTGTACTAGACAAAAATAACTTATTTCATTATCTTCAGAGTGTGATAATGATAGATACGGAGCTGAGTGCAATATGACTTGTGGTAACTGTAGCAACGCAGAACAATGTAATCATGTGAACGGAAGATGTCCGAACGGATGTGACGTTGGTTTTGAAGGGGATAAGTGTGATCAAGGTAAGTTAAAGTAATAAAACTATAAATATTATATAAATATTTACAAAAAAGAGATTTCGACAAACGATATCCATATAGAAATTGATTTGCCTTAAATATTATTAAAATGATAAGATGAAAACATGAGTCAATGATAGGAATAAATAGACCCCACGTTGGTTCGTTTTAAATTAATTTTGATTCCAATAAAAGTTTTTGTTGTTTTTTAAAAAAACCTCAATATAAATAAATAAAAATATCACAAATATAATGTTTGACACATTTTCTTTTCAAAAAAATTTATATCATTATAACAAGTAAATAAACATATTAAAACTTAAACAAACACAGACCTGTGAAACCATGCAGGAGTAGACATCCTTTGATTTTAATATTAAAGAAATGCAATTTAGATTAAACTTAAGTCATTCTAATTTACAAAAAAAAGTTTTTTCTTGCAAGGCAGTTGCGTTGAGTATGTATATGAAATGAAAAATAAATGTCATTAAAATGTCTCGAGTACATGTTCTCTCATTTGCTAGCATCTTTGTGTTAAAAAAAACAATAGAATTAATGATGTTTAGAAAGACAGATGCTAATTTATTATGAGAATATTTTCTATGATATCACATATTGATAGTGTTTGTCATTTGAAGATAGCACAACTAACGTTCTTATACTTTTTAAAGACAAACAAAATAGATTTAAAAAAAAAAGAAGCAGAAAGTTTGTATTATAATTTTTAAAATGCTCAAAGAATGATTACCTTCATTTTAACAAAAAGATATTTCCATCTTGACAGAATGTCCTCCGGGTAGGCACGGAAAGAACTGTGTTGAGTTCTGTAGAATTAATTGCAAAGGTTGTGACAGATTCACTGGTGTCTGTAAGTTTGGGTGTAACCCTGGTTGGAAAGGAACCTTCTGTGACAATGGTACTTTAATACCGGTTTTCATTAGCTTTATAATAAGAATTTACTTTGTGAATAATTTTTTGAAAATAAATCATGTTCATTTTGCAGAATGTGATAGCCGGACATACGGAGAAGACTGTGGTCTGTCTTGTGGAACATGTTTAAATTTAGAACAATGTCACCACATTAATGGGACATGTTTCAAAGGATGTGACAGAGGATTCCAAGGAGATAAATGTACTAAGGGTAAGTAATGTTTTGTGAGTCGTATTATTTTTGGATAATTTTAAATATACTTTAAGATTACGTGTGTTTGGGATCTTTGCACCAGGACTCCTTAATATATCATAGTTTCTTTGTATAAGCATTGTTTTATTCTAATAAAGAATGTATTGAGGGACGTTATGGATTCAATTGTGAGGAAACATGTGACATTAATTGTGGAGTCCCTAGTAGATGTAACAGAGTGACAGGAGAATGTCTTGGTGGATGTCAGGCAGGCTGGACAGATTTAAAATGTGATAAGAGTAAATAGATATAGATATTCTTTAGAGTTATAAATAACCAATTATGTTTAAATAAAGAAAAAGTCAAATATAAAAACCCAAAAAAAAAAACTAAAACAAAAAACTAAAAAAAAAAAAAAAAAAATTGATGTAACATATAAAATCACTTTAAGGTATGCAAAGTGGTAAATATATAGGGAATAAATAGCAGATGCTAGCAAATCAAGTAATACTTAAATTCAAAAAAAGTTATTGCTTTGTTAAAATTAAGAGAACATATATTAATTAACAAGCAGGTTGAATAAACAAATGACGTAGATGAAATTTCTTGTTTTTTTTTTTTGCATTTGAGATATTTCTATTCTATAGAATGTGATGGTGGTACATTTGGACTAAACTGTGCTCAGTCATGCGGGGTATGTCTTGATAAAGAACAGTGTCATCACATTAACGGAACATGCTTGAATGGCTGTGACAGAGGTTACCAAGAGATCAACTGTACACAAGGTGACCGAATCAGTTCTAAAAAAAGTTAAAAATAATATATACCCTGCATTTTTCATCAACAGACAATCAGTACAAAATGGATAAAAACCGTTTAAACAATCAAATGACGCCTTACAACTGAAATTGAATTATTTGAAAGTATATATTCATGTATTTTTAATGTAAAATTATGTTCTTTTAGGAAAAGTTACTGTTTAAGGGGTCGAAAGTATTACATTTCTTTTACTTGATATATTCAGGCAATCGTTAATTATTATTTAAAACAAAATTTTAATTAAAAAGAAAAAAAATTAAAAAAGTTTCATTAAAAAATCTCACAGTCATTTGCCTTAAAAATGGTTATGAATTTAAACACTGTTGTTTTGTATTCTCTACCAATTTAGAATGCGCCTGGGGTTTCCATGGTTACCAATGTAATGAAACATGCAATGCAAATTGTTTAAATAGAAGATGTAACACGGTAACTGGAGGGTGTCTAATGGTTAGTAGAACTGGTTATTGATCAAGCTAATATGTATTTTAAGCTGATTTTTAAATAATTTAATTATTACAAGTATTCCCAATTCATTTTATTTAAATATTCGATTTCTTTTGAATATGTACTTTTGGCGCTTAGTGAAGGTTGATGATTCTTGTAAAAAAAAAATAACAATATAATAATGCTTTTACTGCAAAAACATTTTCTGTTATGAAATTATAGGAAAAAAAAATAAAGTTTACATTTATATCCGAATCAATTCTACACATTAACTCAAAACATTTTGGTAAGAAAATTTGATTGATTGATTTTTACAATGTATTCTTTAAGGCCGAATCTGCAATATTTCAGCCATATTTTAGAGGTTGCTTTCTTAGAAAAGAAGATATAGTAAAAAAAAAAGATAACCCTAAAAATTAACATTATTGACACCGATTTTTTCTTTCATTATTTTAGACAACAAGATTCCATTACCAAATTAGAAATTACGTCTTTAAATGTTTTACTCATGAAAATATTTTAAAGTCTTTAGATTTCTCATTCCCAAAAGATGATACTTTTTCAGTTCAAAAAGTTAGTATAGTTATTTTTGTACACATATTTGCTTTAAAATTACTCTAATTATATTACATAGAATATGATAACATGCATTTCTTTCGCCATTATAACATCTGCTACAACATAATTGAAATTAAAAGTTACAATTTAAGAAAAAAAAACTACAAATGTATCGTAGCTCAGTTAAATGCAAGGTGACTTCCATCCTTTTACCACTTTCTTTGCAACTTTGAGACACGCAACATGTACATGTACATATGTAATTAACTACAATAGGTTTTTTTTTATCTCTTGCTTTTACTCAATTCACGAGTGACTTACCTGAAAAGCACACAGAAAAAATCTCACTTTTATCTATTCGCATTAAAAGGTTTACTCAAATTTTTCGTAAATAAAAATACTTTAATGGAAAAGTCATTAAGAAATTGTGGTTGTTTAGAATATTGAAATACTCTCTTCAAAATGTCACCTAGAACCTTGGCATAAAAAAAAATTTCATATATTTCTCAACAATTACAGATTTTTTTTTTACATACTATTATCAATATGGAATTTTGATTCAATCAATTGACGCTGTGATATCAAATTCAAATTTTTATTCTGTAAAATAAAATTAATGCTGTATGGTTTCTGAATTTAGTATGAATTCTATTGAATGAATAAAATCTAGGAAGGAAGCAGAATTAGTTCCAATTAGGATTCTAACTGTTTAAAAAAATCTAAATTTTAATTATAGATTTGTTTCCATAGGATTCACATATGCCATAAATGGTCTAAGATTATCAATATTTATCTTTAAGTTCTTTTTATCATGATTTAAAGAGGGAATTGAAATCAATTAGACGTATCCCTGGTGTTCCATATAATATACTTCTTCCAGGTGTCTGCTCCAAATCCTCCAGATTTTAACACTGTTCTTATCATGGGAGGAGCTGCAGCGGTCATGTTTGTAAGCCTGGCAATTGTTATCACACTATGTTTTGTTTTTAGAAGGTAATTGTACTGCATGTACTTACATTTTATATCGGACACAATCTTAAACCAATACACTCCCGATACACACCCTGGCTTCACTTCAAGTCCACTTAAAAAAAAAAATTGGGACCATTCTGGTTGCACCTTGCGTGCGCTTTGGGTACGCTCGGAGTCAGCTCTGCGTCAACGAGAGCAAACCCGGCTTGCGCTCTACGGGTTCCTTTTTTCACTCATTCGTAAAGCGGACCCAACTATAATCTTGCCGTCCGCCTGGAATCTTGTTTATTTAAATTCAGTAGGGAATTCATGAGAACGATAATTGTTGTTCTTGCAAAGAACTTTTTAAACCTTAGGATGCGCTCTAAATTCAGTTTTTTGGTTATTTTATGTTGTGTATGGTCCGTACAGTATTATTCCTTATCATTGTTCTATATTTTGCAAACCTTTGTATGTTTATATTTTAAAACTAATAATTTACAAATAAAGAAAATCTCATGTGAACAAGGGTATGAAATATTTGCAGTCTTTAAACTTCCCAGTTCTTAATTATAAAACTATTTTAGAAATGATATGAATGATTAAACAAATACTTTATTAAAATGATTTAAATCCATTTGTTACATGTAATTTATGTAATTTTATTATTCTTGCATTAAATTAGAAAAAGTACAAGTCGCACAGGCAAAGAGCAAAATTCTTTAGAGAAGCGAGAACAACTGTCCTTAGAAAATACGACACCTAATGAGGATATCTATGACAAAATAAGTGAGAATTCACAGTACCAAGAGATAATATATGAATATGAAGACAATGAAGAATACCAGGAACTGGGTCAAATGAGTCAACCTTCTCTTTATGACAGCTTACATTAGTGGTGAGATGTGTAATTCATACTGTTCAGTATCGGGACATGTATGCTATTCCGCAAAACTCGTTTGGTACAAAGGCGGATATTGCAACTTCACGGATATAGCGAAGACATTTTGGAACCCCAGCTATATAAATTTTAACGAATTCTTTATACAGAAATATCAAATTACAGATATATATAAATAAATAAAGTAATTTTACAGGTAACCGTGACTTTATTTTAATCGCTGTATATTGTATACGACTTATTCTTGCACGGTCAATTGCAAAGAAAGTGTAAGCAAACGCAAGCGTGGGATTCAATTAAAAACTTGTTTTATCAATATATTTATTTCCTTTTCATAGCAATAGAATGTTCTTTCAAAATTTGGGATATTTAATCTAGAGCTGACATGTATCATTTTTTTTTTAGAATATCATTCATTGTCTTTTGTAAATACTTTTTTGTATTCCTCCAGAATATCTTGTATATCATTGAATCATACTTTTATCTACGTCGTTTATATGTTAGCATGAAATCGTTTTTGTTGTTTTATTTTTAAAATCTATTTTAACATAACATGCTGTTATTTTTCTTCTCTTTTTCTATCTCTTCAGAAATATATTTTTCGAATGTGATTCCATTAAACCTTCATCAATTTGAAAATAAATGCTTCAAAAGATTATTGTTTTTTTTCTTTTTAAGAAAAACAAAGATACGGAGTTGTGTAATGAAAACATAAAATTTCAAAAACAAATATTGTCTCGCCATTTATGTAAACTTCATGCACAGTAATCAACGCATTTCTGTTAGAGAAAGTGAATAAGGGCAATGTTGTGCACCTATAAAAAATAACACGAAAATTCAAGTCTATTTTGCAGGTTGTGAAACATTGCTGTTTGAGTTCCAAAAACTAACATACAACATATTTCGGACAAAACGAAAGAAACGGAAAAATAATTTATTTTGAAGATATATTTACAGAAAACTTATATACACTTTGCAATCTATTCACACATTCTTGGTACTTCATTGTCTTGTTTATAATTTCCCAGAGTCAATAGAATGATACATTTCTGTTTTCCTCTGAATATTTTTTTCCATATTTATCAAAGAGTGCCCTTTGGGTACATATCAGCAAAGTATATTCAGCCTACAAGTAAAACATATAGAGTGAAGACAACAAGGCCATAAATTATCAGTTTCTCTAAAACTAAAATATTTCAGTGCATATGAATAAATGATTCATAATGCTGTCAGTCCTTGTTAAGATTTAATAATATGTTAAAGATATTAAATTATTCTCGTGTATACTTTTTAAAACAGGTTTTATTCCTAGTATTCTTATCAATGCCAAAGTTTGACCCCACCAAAAGTGTAGGAATATTACCGTTACCAACTTTAGACATTACTTAATGAATGCACCCACGTCATTAAAAAAGATTTATAGATCACTTTAAAAAAAAATCAAACTATTATGTCTCATCCCTATTTTAAGATATAAGGAAAGTACTTTTCCAGTTCGGATAAGTTGCCTCTATCGATATTCTTGTACTTCATATGTTTGAACTGGATCATCAGAACCTTTCTTAGACTACTAACAAAATATTTAGACCTTATCTAGGTACACAGTTGTATTTAGGAAAACGATTTAGAAAATGATAGATATCCTTGATTTGCTCTTAGAAAGTTTTAAAGGTCACAATCTTTATGTAAAAGTTAAAAAAATATTAATAAACACGTTAATAAGTAATAAAGGTACCTTGGACACTTGATATTTGAAGAGGGAGTACCAAAAGATCCCCTGAAGCAAATTGTCGTCTTGCCCAAACAAAGGTCAGAAAAAGAAATCTAATAAAATTTCCTGGATTGGCAACCTTCCATCCATGGTTCACTCGTAATTTTTCAGCAGATACTATTCCATTTAAGGATTCAATTATGCTACTGTATAGGCCCAGGAAATCTAAAGGGAAGAAACAAATAGAAGTTTTAACCTATGTATAGAAGACATTGGGCGTAGCGTTCTGCAGAACGTTCGAAAGGTATTAAAAAATAACAAACGCGCTTATTTTGCACAGGGTTCAAATAAACCAAGCTAACAACGAAATTTATTTAGTTTGGACAAGTTGGAAGTTGTGATGTCTCTAGATAAGGAAATTTGTCCAGTCAAGCTGATTTGAGCTGTTCCAGCAAAAACTCTCCTTATGTAATCTGACAGAATTTTACGTCACAATGAAAAAGCGACGTCATTGTTGCAATCAAAATCTATCGCGCACTGACTGCGTTCCAACTACATGCTTTGTTTTAATTCAAAGAATTTTCTCTTTTGTTGTGCTTTCTGCATATTTTCTTTTATGACTATTGTCTTTTTCATAACATATCTGACTTTGAATTTTGTCAAACTACATGAATGTGCATTACACATTAAAACGACATATGAGTACATAACCATAAAATTCAAAAATTATTCTGTTCCATGTACAATATAAGTTTTCAGTTAAACAAAATAAATATGGAACTGTCGTTTAAAATTCAGATTTACAATTCTGTCTCATTCAAAAAACGACAAAATATATTTACATGCAATGATGATATTGAGTGAAAAGAAAATTAAAAAGAAAGGGAGGGTAGTTTAAAACGTCTTTTATTCGAAGTCTTGGCGAAAATTGATTGGACTTAATCACATGTCAAGAAAATTGCACAGGAATTAACACCAATCAAAACTGAATAACAGGAATATTTAATCACACCAATGCCAGATCTAATTCCGGGATATTTTTTCATTTATTGTAGACCCTGTGCTAGAAGTTCTGAAAAAGTACCATATTTGACATGCACACTAACATTATTTATCTAATTGCTTGTCAAGTTATTCAACCCCCCTTTTTTGTTAACAGTGAAAAGTTACATTCAGAAAAAAAAAATGCGGAAAGGGGCCCCCATGCAATCCCCTGGAATTGTTTTTTTATAGGCATGATTGTAAGCAAAATAATTTTTCATCCGCTGAGTGTATATCAAGTACAAATAAAACACATTTCCAAAATATTTTAATTAGTTTGGATTTTCCCGATCTAATTTAGCAATGAGTAAATATTCATAATTTTCACTAGGAAGATCACATGCAGGTGAACATATCCTAATTTTTTTTCCACAATGCTAGATCCTGGCAAATCAGAGAGCAAGGAGAATTTATCATATTGAAAAAAAAAACTTGTCAACTGATTTGAAAAGCGTTCTGGCATGGTTTTTTTTTCAAACGTATGTGCATGGGGAAATATTTAAAAGCGTTATAAGTTTAGTGGACCTGTACGAAGACAGCCCTTTGACACTGTAGACGCAAATGTGAAAAAAGAGAAATAATAGTGAAGTTTATTTTATCAATATACTGAAATTCCATAAGGAGACAATAAAACGATGGTAATCGTTGTGTAAAAATGCAATTTTTAATTTGCTGTTCAAATCAGTATCCTTGAACAACGTTTGTAATGTTACAGAACTTCAGTTTAAAGTGCTTGATGAAAGAAACAAACAAATCAATCATTAAAATGAATGATTTGTGATACACCACAAAGTATACATAATTATTATGTTTGTCTGAAAAACTCTCAAATTTTTGCATATGTCATTTAGCATTGTGATGATACAGTGGCTGGAACGTTATTGTTGACATCTTACACGAACGATCACGTTACACGAACGATTCCGCACGATTAACGCACTATTAAACCTGTTACACGAACGATCTTTCACGTTCACGATTCTACACGTTACACGATCTTACACGATTGTTAACGCAAACGCACGATTCTTCACTCAAAATACCGTAAATCTGGAAATTTTTACGTCGATTTTATTTTGCGAATTCGGGTCAAAATGCTGTTGATTAATTTTTACGTTTCAAAATTTTGCGAATGACCGCTGCTTTGTATACATTTTCTTATTGGTAATCTATTTTTAAGAAAAATATTTTTGCGAATGCAATGAACTCGCAAATTTGCTAAAAATTAATCTACAGCAAAAAATTCCAGATTTACGGTAGTACAAATTATTTAGGAATCAATATTTTCAAAACGAAATACGGCTTATGATTTATTTAAGATTTCAAAGGATTATCAATATTATTTCATAAACGTTGAAGAATAAACGGAAAATGATATTTCTGTAACTAAATATATGCAAGACTTAATATTTTAGATTAAAAAAATAATTATTTCTAAGGTAATTCTCCGATTTAAAAAACGCATTTTATTCGTTCTATTAGATAGTGTACATGTATGTGGGTCGTATAATTTGATTGAATTGGATATCATTATATGCAGAAAGGGGGATATGATTGAACAAAAATGGCAGCATGGAGTGACTTAAATTATAATTACAAATTTTATCCTAATGTTTCCATTGATTCAATATCTGATAAACTTGCCAATTATTCAACTTTTTCATTTGCAGAAAGTTAAAATTAATTAATTACAAATAGGCTCAAGAGATAATCACAGATAATGAAAACTTCCGAAAATCGTGCCGTGTCCATGTATATTTGTCGACTAACTAGTTATGTAAGCATTGAGAAATGTTATTTCTTTGTACAAAAAATTATTTATTTTCAATAAATTGATTTCAAGATTATCGTGACCATAATAAGAAGCAAATAATAATAATTTAAATAAGATTTTTCATAAAGGCGATTAAGATCGGTACGGTTTATCACAATATTGATCGCGCTATTTGACGAGAACTTAATATTGTAAAATTACTATAATGCTTGTTTACGGGCGATAATCAGTTCGTTCTGTATTCTATTATGTAAATTGAGCTTTTTCATTTTATTTGGATTTTAATTAATGAATTAAGAAAAACAAAAAATGGAAATGCTCATTTTACATGTAACATTCCGATAAAAACTTACAAAACGAAATTTACACGATTCTAAACGCACGATCTCGCACGATTAAAAACGCACACGATTGAGTCTGATACACGAACGATCTTTCACGTTACACGAACGATCGCTCACGATACACGAACGATTCTACACGATTGGTTTGTCAACAATAACGTTCCAGCCACTGTATCATTTCTTTTCATGGCTTTTCATTGTTTTGAGCGGTACCAATCAAGGATTTAACAAGTTCGCCGTTGCATAACACCTGAACTAGCAAGAGACTCTACCGCATCACTAGAAAAGCTAGCTCACTATCGAGGCAGTACTAGTTCTATTGTAGTTGATTTTTTCTTATGTATTTTTGTTTGAGCCGGATTCCCGCTTGGCTTGTAAGGGATGGCAACACTTGTTTTCAACCTCTGATAATATCGGTCTTAAAAGAACACAAGTTCTAAACTATTATAGATTTATTTTGGAGAAACCGCAAGTCATATGAATAAAATAATGAATTTTACAAAACATTCTGAAAAAGAAACAAATTATTAATATTAATTATTAATAACAATTCATTTTTTAAACATATTACATTTCATTTGCGTTAACTTTCAAAGTATATAAACATGAATATTATTAACATATACCGTACCTTTAATGAAAACAAGTTGTAAGCTATTATAGATTTATTTTGGAGAAACCGCAACTGAGGTTGTCAGAGCGCGCACGGCCATTTTATACCCCAGAACCGGTCTCCATGACAATTC